AGTGCAGTGGGAAAACGTGACACTCTGCAAGACTGACCCACATGGGGTGGGGGGTGGGGGGCTCTAGGACCCCGTCCAGAGCCTTTCCTGACTTCGTCAGGAACAAACATGCTCATGATTCAGGGCTGGTTGAAGCTGGAGGTGGGTCATGGCATCAAGACCCTGTTGGGGCTGGTTTATTATTTTTTTCTCTCTCTCTCAACAAATAAACTTTTAAAAAATATATTTTCTATGGGGCCAGCAGGTGGCATGGTGGTTAAGGCTGCAATATTGTCATGTGGCCAGCTGTGGTTCAAGTCCCAGTAGGGGACTACAAAAAAAAACTATGGCATTAAAAAAAAAAAAAAAAAAACCTTAAATGAAGGATGCCTTCACTAGCTTGATGTAATTACTCCATATTGTATTCATAATCTAACATCACTTTGTACTCTGTACATTTACAAAATTATAAGCTGTCAATACACAGTTTAAAAACTTCTGGGACAGCAGGTGGCATGGTGGTTAAGACTGCTGGATTGCAATGTGGCCAACTATGGTTCAAGTCCCAGACTAAGTGGCTTGAAACTCACACTGGGTGCATGTCCATGCATGCCCAAAATCTCAAGAGTTATGTAGGAGAAGGGATTGTGGCATGGCCATCCCCCTGGGGAGTGATTTCTCACTTTCCCTCTCTCTGTCTCTCTCCTCTCCAGTGAGCACATGCACCCCATGGCCAATATATATATATATATATATGTGTGTGTGTGTGTGTGTGTGTGTGTGTGTGTGTGTGTGTGCATGTGCATATGTGGGTGTGTTGTATCCACTTTTGATTGTCTGGCTTCACATATGGCATTGTGCAATTAAGAAGGCCCCGATGGCTCGGGCAGCCTGCAGTGTGCAAAGCAACAGGAGCAGGAGTCTCGGGCAGGGCCACTGCAGAAGTTAGGGCTCCTGCACGCACTGGCTCTGACTTCTCCAGAACCTCCACAGGTTGCAGGGTTGGCCACCCTTCCGCTGTGGGTGCCAAGTGCACTTGTATTTTTCTGCTCTTGGAACCACTGTTTTCTCGTCTTGCTATGAGCCATATCCTGCTCCATCAGTTCACTAAGTAACCACAGCTGTGAACTGTCTCTCCAACACAACACATGACCTAAATTAATCCATATGACAGTCCCAAGAGTTCACCATTATTGACCTAATTTTCTAAATTTCCCAGGTCACACACTTAGTAAGGGGAAAACATGAGCCTTAAGTCCAGTTTTCCGTGTGTGTGTGTGTGTGTGTGTGTGTGTGTTGTGTGTGTGTTGTGTCCAGTTTTTTCTGTAATAGACTAAATGTTTACGTTTCTCCAAACTTCAAATAATGAAGCCTTAAGCCTCAGTGCAATTGTATTTACAGATGGGCCCTTTAGGGAAGTAATTAAGATTAAATGAAGTTATAATGGATTTCCAATAGGAAAGAGAAAATTCTGTTCCAAGAAGGGGAAGAGAGACCAGTGAGTGGGGCCGTGGTTACGGCAGCTGGCTCCCACATGGCCAAGCATGCAGTTCGAGTTCCAGACCCAGCGACTTAAAAGGCATACCAAGTGCGTGTGCATGTGTGCCCAAAATCCCAACAGAAGAATGGGGAGAAGGGATTGTGGCATGGCCATCGCCCCTGAGGTTGCTTTCTCAGTTTCTCTCTCTTTTTGTCTCTCTCTCTCTGTCTCGGTCTTTCTCGAGTGAGTGCATGTGCTCTATAGCAAATTTAAAAAAAAAAAAAGAGGACAAGACACCAGAGATCTGTCTCTCCTCGGCTCTCTCCACATACAAACAGAGAAAAATCCATGTGAGAACAAAAGCAAGATAGTAGCCATTTCCAAAGCTGAAAGAGAACCCTTGCCACAAACCAAAGCCATTGGCATCCTGATCATGGACTTACAACCTCCAGAACTGTGAGAAAACCAAGGTCTACTGTTTGAGCCACACAGTCTACAGGGTTTTGTGATGGCAGCTGGGCAATTTAACATAAGTTCCAGTGCCCTCCGCAGTATGCCCTCCATCTTCCCCTCTCTCTGAACGTTTGCTCATCCTACTTCCTCTGCACCTGCGTCTCTGTCATGGCTTCAATGTGAACACACTGTGATGTCAGCAATAATGATAGCAATGACTAACAGTGCCAAGCATATACTATTATCAGGCACTCTGCTACACATGTTATAAGCACTCTGTAATCTAACCATTGCACCCACTCTTGGATAGACATGTTCCTATCCCCATTTTACAAATGAGAAAACTGAGGTTAAACATCTTACCCAAGAAGGTGGCAGGGCCCTATTCAAGCACTGGCAACCTGATGCCAGAGTCTGAGACCTTGCCTGACCCTGTAGTATGTGAACACATCAGTCCCTGACCTATCTGTCAGTCTCTCCCCAGACAGACTGTAAGTTTCTCAGGGCAGAGACCTCATCTGCTTGTCTCTGCATCTCTGTACCTCCAATCCTTCATACAAAGCCTGGCACCCCTTGACCTTGCAAAGGCTTGGAGAATGAACAAATGAATGCCTCAACCTCACACTGGTAGCCACCTGCCACCGTGAACAGAAAACACGCAGTCCCTTTGACTGTGGATATTAACAAAGAATCTCAGTGTGGGATAATGAAAGTTGCAGCGTGTGCTGTCTGTCCGCACAGCCTCCCGGTCTCCATGCATGCACGTCTGAGTGAACAGAGAACTCACACTGAGATTTACTTAAAAGGCGTTTAACTCTGCTCACACGTCTGTCGACCAAGCCTATTACTTGCAGAAATCTATTCCATGCATTACCATTTTGATTTCCAGCGCTAAGAGACAGTAGTGGGGTGGTAGGATTTTTTTTCCCCTCCTCTCACCAGTTGAGTTACTGTCTGCTTTTGTGGAATAAATTGCTATAAATTGAGTTACCAGCACTCTAAAATGGGGAAATATATTCTCAATGCTATATGGGCAGCTGACAACATTATGGAAATACACAAAGTGTGTGTCAAGGTTTATGTGAATGGTGATGAGTTGTGATGGATGTTGGGAGAGTGGAGGGTGAGGGGTGGGGACAGGGATGACTTCAGGCACAGAGACACTTTCCCACACCTTTCCTCCACTATGACCGGCCTGTGCCTCTCAGAAATGAATTTTACAGGTAGAACAACTAGAGTCAGGATAAACAGCAAGAGCCAATGGCTAGAAAAAAACAGGACAATAAAATAGTCCCCAGAGCCTAGTAAGGTTGGTATTGGGGCTGCTATTAGTGCCCTACCCATATTCCGTGATGGCTGCCCAACACCTGCAGCTTCTAGGGACTTTGCTTCCAAAGGCTGCAGCTGCAAAGCCTCCTTGGGAGCCTGCCCTTGGCCCACTGGGGTTTCCGTGCAGCTTCACGGGCTCCCGGGGCAGCCCTCCAGCAATGACTGTGCATTTGGGATGCCAAAGCCTGGCAGCCTTGCTGAGCCGGGGTGAGCTCTGAGGTCTCATGTGCAATCCACAGAATGAGAGTGATGAAAGGGCGGGGACGGCAAAAGTCACAGCCTCGTTTGGCCACTCTCCTTCCCTGTTCTCTTTTCCCAGTTTGCTTGCAGCTTTTCCTGGGAGCACGTACTTGATAAGCCATTTGTATACAGATTTCCATCTTAGGGTTTGCTGCTGGAAAAGGACGTAGGTGGACAGTCACGGACCCCTACAACCAAGAGGGTCTGCTGGGAGGATTGAGGGGTCCAGGAGCTGATGGGGCTGTAGTGCCTGGGGCAATAGAATGGGAGCCGAGGGCAGCAGGGGATCCTAGCAAACCCATCAGGTCTGGGTAAAGTCAGCCCCAACCTCACGCCATGCCAGAGATCATAGCACCATCTGATGGCGCTAACAGGCACAGAAGAACTTTTCTGACCCTTCCCCTTATTCCCTCCACAGCCTCCCCACTGCCACCCACCCAGCCAGTAGTCCAAATTCCCAAGGGAGTCAGAAGAGCAGATCTCAGTAAAATACAGAAAACAGGACCAGCAGATGGTGTGGTGAAGGCACTGGATCCCGCATGGCCAACTACACGGTTAGAGTCTCAGTTCTGGAAGCTTGGAGAACACACTAGGCATGTGTGCATGCATGCCCAAAATCCCAAGAGGAAAGTGGAGAAGGGAGTGCAGAGTGGCCATCCCCCAGCGGGTGATTTCTCACTTGCCCTTTCTCTCCCCCTCTCTGCCACCCCAACTCTGCCAGCAAGTGTACACGCCAAATGGCAAATGTTAAAATAAGAAGAAATAGAAAAAATAGCTATCAGTCCCACTGCCCTGTCTGTGGTGAGCCCCAGCAGGATCAGGGAGGGAAGAGTCTTAAAAAAAGCGGACTGGTACACTGGATTGTGCATTCTCATCTCAGAACCCACGTTCTGTTTTGTGTCTTATGGTGACCAATAGACCTGTTTGTCTCAGATGACCAGCAGAGTCATGGGGGCCGCCTGAGCTTTCATGTAGAGAAGGAAACGGACAGCAGCCGAGGGAAAATGGGCAACAATAATAAAATGACTTCCATGGGGATGTTGCCCAGGTCCAGCATGTTCAACACACACTCGCTCACCTAGTATACGCTTGGCCCAGTGCCACTGTTACTGTGTTATCACTGATCTGCTAGACACAAAACTTCACAATTCATGGAAGAAGGTCCGTCGGCGGAGCAGCAGTAAAACGCCATGTTCTGGGAGGCTGACCTAGACGGGAGGGTTTGAGGTTCGAGTTCAGAGGTCCACCTCCCTCCTCAGTCTGCTAGGTGAGCGTATGTCCATGATCTCGGGCTGGCTGAGACTAGAGTGGGTTGGGGCATCAGGACCTTACTGAGGGTGCTGTCTTTCTGTCTCCCTCATTCATGGAGGAAATGATCAAATACACTTTTTTTTAAATAGCTCATAGAAAATATGTATCATGAAAAAACTGTATGGATTTCATTTTTTTTTGCACCAGAATAAATTCATAGTGTAATTCCATTTTTCCTTGAATTTCCATTTTTCCCCTCATTTCTTCATCGCCCCTCAAACAGACACATTGTCAACAAGAATGCTGTGGGGAGAATCGAGGCAAAAAGAGCAGTTAAGAGGCTGCTAAGGTTGGGGCCAGCAGGTGGCATGATAGTTAAGGCAGCTGGACTCCCACAGGACTGACCACAGTTCAAGTCCTGGACCTGGCAACTTGCTTTCTCACTTTCCTCTCTCTCTGTCTGTCTCTGGTCAACTTCGAAAAAATAAAATAAAATAATGACAATGAATAATTTTTTAAAAAAAAAAAGAAAAGAAACTGCTGGGACCAGCAGTTGGCATAATGGCTATGTCATTGGACTCCCACCTAGTCAACTGTGGTTCAAGTCCTGGACCCGGTGGCTTAAATTCACACCAAGTGTGTGTGTGTGTGCATGCCCAAGATCCCAAGAGAAGAATGGAGGAGAAGGGATTGTGGCGTGGCCATCCCCCTGGGGGGTGTTTTCTCGCTGTCTATCTCTCTGTCTTTCTGGCAAGCACACATGCCCTATGGCAAAAATCTCTAAAAAAAAAAAAAAAAGAGGCTGCTAAGGTAAGAGACGAGGTGCTGGCCCCATGGCCTGATGGTTAAGGCAGCTGCATCCCACATGGCCAATCTCATGATTCAAGTTCTAAACCTGATGGCTTGAGAAACATTCAGGGAGCATGTGCATGTGTGCCCCAAATCCCAACAGGGTGGAAAAATGTAGGCGAAGAGATTGTGGCATGACCATTCTCCATGGGGCGGGGGAGGTGGTGCTTTCTCACTTTCCTCTTCTTTCTGCCTCTCAGGCAAGCACACACACCCTCTGGCAAATTTTACCAAAAAAAGGCGATGTAGCTGATATGGGGAATACTACTCTGAGCCCCTTGAATCCTTGTCCTCCCTCTGCTATTGAAGCTGGAAAGTTACTCACCTACCTGGACTCCGCTGTAGCTACAGAGAGACATGTGAGATGGCTCTGGCCAATGAAGTGCAGACGGATGACTCTGGTGAGGAGTTCTCTTCCCAACAAAAAGACAAAGATTCTCAATTAGGAGTTATGATCTGGAATGCGGGCATGATGCTTAGAGAAGCAGCAACTATCTTGTGGTCATGAGAACCAAAGCCAACACTAAAGATGGTAAGATAGAGTAGAAGCGGCCAGAGCTTCTGATAAAATTCTTGGGCTTCTGTTCCTGTCCTGCACTGCTTGCCTCAGACTTCTCTTTGCACATGATAACACAGCCTTTACCTCGTTAAGCCACTGTGGCAGTTTCCTGTTACTCAGTCCTAGCTGGTATAAGGGCCTGGCCTAGAGAAGTCACAAAGGACAGGGAGAGGAGATGGGTGACACTAGGGTGGTAGAATGATAAGGTGGGATGCCTGTTCAACATGGTGGAAGGAGGGAATCAGGAACAAAAGAGTGAGTGTCTTGGGGCCGGCAGGTGGTGTGGTGGTTAGGGCACTGGACTTCCACATGGGCTGTTGTTTGAATCTCAGACCTGGCAACTTGCTTCCCCAATTTCTCTCCCTCTCTGTGTCTCTTTCTGGTGAGTACAAATTTTAAAATATAATAATAATAAATAAAATTAAATAAATAATTCTAAAACTTAAAGAAAAAAAAAAGAGTATCTTTCCCTGCATAAGGAATAGAGATATAAAAATATTTTAGGGTAGTAAAATTAGAGGCAAATAATTATCATTTTACTACGTTTATATGGACTGAAGTATGCCTCCCCAAAATTCATATACGGAAGCCCTAATGATGGTATTCGGAGATGGAGCCTTGCGAGATAACTAGGTTTCATAAGGTCATGAGAGTGGGGCCCTCAAAACAGGATCAGGGCCCTTAGAGGAAGAGGAAGTGACACCGTAGAGGTTGCTAGAACTCTCCCTCTGCCGAGTTCACAGTGAGAAGGCAGCCAGCCACCTTTCACTACCTCTTCTCCTGTCTTTCTCACTCCACTCCTGGGATTTCTGGGATCATCCCTCATGGAAGCTACTGACCCTTCAATCCTTGTTTCTAGGTCTCCTTCTGGGGGAACCAAACTATGGCACAGCCCAAACTTTCCTGAGTGGCTTTCTTAGAGTTGGCTAGGGTGAGGCAGGGCTGTGTAGCAGGAAAGGCCACAGCCCTCTCCCCACAGTGCAAAGACACCCTTCCATAATGCCCCTCAGGAATCTCTGCAGGTCCTCTGCTGGTGTAGGCTGCAGGAGTGGGCAGGGGATGGCTTCTATAATGCCCTCCCATAATGCCCTCTTATAATTAGAGGTTGCTATGCCCTTCCATAATGCCCTTCCATAATGCCCTCCTATAATTCCCTCCCATAATGCCCTCCCATAATGCCCTCCCATAATGACCTTTCATAATGCCCTCCCATAATGCCCTTGCCTAATGCCCTCCCATGATGCCCTTTCATAATGCTCCTCAGGAATCCCACTAGGTCCTCTGCCAGTATAGACCACAGGGGTGGCAGAGGGGTGGGCAGGGTATGGCTAGGTAGCAGAAGCACTTCTGTCCTTGCTTAGCTTGACCTGCAAGACAGTCACAGCTCCTATAGGTTTTAGTACCTATTGTCCCCAGCTTGGGGTTGGGGGGATTGCAGTGTGGCAAGAGCCCATCAAGGTTCTCTCTCTCTCTCTTTTAAAGTACACACATAAAAATAAATAAATAAATAAATAAATAAATAAATAAAGTACACTTTGTTCAATAGTACACACATAAAAATAAATAAATAAATAATGTACACAAACTTTGTTCTTTATAGATTTTTGCCTTAGGGAGTGCACACTCACTGGAGAGAGAGAGAGAGAGATAAAAACACAAACAGGGAGAGGGATGGCCATGCTGAAATCCCTTCTTCTTTCTTCTAGGATCTTGGGCGCGCATGCACAGGTGCCTGGCCTGATTTTCAAGCTGCTTGGTCCGGTACACAAACCATGTGGGAGAGCAATGATGTAACTACTCAACATCTGCTGATCCCAAGACATAAATTTTTTAAAAAGAAAGAAAAGGAGACCAGCAGGAAGGTAGCATGGTGGTTGAGGTGCTGGCCTGAGGTGCTGGACTCCCACATGGCTGACCATGGTTTGAGTCCCAAACCTGGGGCTTGCTTTCTCATCTCCTTTTCTCTCTGTCTCTCTCTGGTCAAAATTGAATAATAATGATAATAAATAAAAGTAAAAATAAATCTTTAAAAAAAAAGAAAGAAAAGAAAAGAAAGCCCTTGGACAAAAAGACATAGAGCCTGCTCCAGATGACAGCCAGTGAGTGCCTCACTGGAGCCAGGCGACATGGGCAGGGAGGTCGCTAGCATCAGTTGGGCGTGCTTGAATGAAAAGGACCCTGGATCCATGTTTCCACAGCAGAGTTTCTGATCTGTCCTCTAAGGATCCCAGACTGGGGCGAAAAGGACCGAAGAGAGACTCTTCAGCAGTCTTAAACGTAGTGGGCAAAGGTGTGAGTTTCCTGCGGGTCAGAGACCACAGAAGGACCAAGGCCTGAGCAGCCTCTGTGTCCCAACCTCAAGGGACACAGTGACCCCAAAGTGACCTGGGCAGCAAGAAGCTAGGGGCTGAAGGGTGGTCAGGACTCCTACATCAGAGAGAAGGGCAGAGGGGAAGGCTCCATGGCGACCTGTGAGGACCCCACAGAGGGGCTCCTTGCAAGGAGTTCCACCCTTTTCTCCCAACAGCCCCTGAGCCCTTGCTCATGCTCCTCCCAGGTCTCTGGGACGTGGTCAGGCTTGGGCTTGGGGGAGGGAGGGGAAGAGCAGTAAATGGAATTGGGAATTGTTCTCAGCTGCAAATGACCAAGACAACCTGGGATCTGCCCGCAAGACTGTGAGAGAAATAGAAGACGACATTGTGTGTCCCACACCTGACTGAGACAGGTAGGTACATCGGTTAGGACAGCTAGCTGGGAGCACCAGGCACAGAGCGGGTTGGAGGTGGGGTCCTCGAGGGCAAGCCCACTTAATCCTCTCAACAACCTTGCGGGGATGGTGTCTGTCCCTATCGTACAGCTGAGAAACTGAAGCTTGAAGAATCTAACAGCTCGGAACCATACAGACAATGCACAGCAGAGTCCATGTCTACACTCAGGCAAGTTTAATTCTGAACTAGTTCGTCAAGAAGTAGACAGATAGGGAACCAGCAGCTAGCATAATGGCTATGTCGCTGGACTCCCACGTAGTCAACCGCGGTTTGCATCCCGGACCCGGTGGCTTAGAACTCACGCCAGGTGCGTGTGCGTGCGTGCCCAAGATCCCGAGAGGAGAATGGAGGAGAAGGGATTGCGGCGTGACCATCCCCCCTAGGGGGTGATTTCTCACTTTCTGTCTCTATGTCTCTCTCTGTCTGTCTGGCGAGCACACGTGCCCTACAGTGAAAACCTCTCAAAAAAAAAGTAGACAGATACATTATAGTCTATCCCTCTGTCTGGCGAGCACACGTGCCCTATAGCAAAAACCTCTCAAAAAAAAAAGTAGATACATTACAGTCTATCCACACAATCGACACTACACAGGAATGAGAAGAAATGAATGAGTGATGTATAACAGAACATGGAAGAAACTGAAAAGACATTATGCTGAGTGAAAGGAGGCAGACCCCACAGACTACATTCTGGAGGATTCCGTTTATACGAAATTCTAGAAACAGCAAAGCACAGAGACAGGAAGCAGATCCGTAGTTGCCAGGGACCAGAGGCAGGGAGGGCAAGGGTCCATGGGACACTTTCTGGGGTGGTGGAATGTTCTGCACCACGAAGCTGGGGGGCTGACACAAGTGTATGCATTTGTCAAAACTTAGAATTGCGGCGACAGTCCCATGGCCTAATGGTTAAGGGAGTTACATCCCACATAGCCACGTGGGGTTCAAGCCCCAGCTTCCGTGGCTTAAAAAACATGTCGGGCATGTGTATGTGTGCATTTGTGTGTGTACGAAATCTCAACAGGATAGAGAAATGGAAGCGCAGGAGTTGTGATGTGATCATGCCCTACTGGGGGGGGTGTGTGAAGGTACTTTCGCCCTCTCTCATTCTCTGTCTCTGGTGACTGCACACACCCTCTGGGAAACACAAACAAACAAAACAAAACCTTAGAATTGTCTACTTAAAACAGTATGTTTGGGCCAGCCTGTGGCATTGAGGTTGAGGCAGCTAGAGCTCACATGGCTGACTGAGCAGTTTGAGTCCCAAACCCAGAAAGTTGAAAAATACTTTGTGTGTGTGTGTGTGTGTGTGTGTTCATGCCTAAAATTCTGAGAAGAGAATGTAAGAGAAGGGATTGCAGCATGGTCATGCCCCCTGGAGGGGGGCACAGTCAAATATGTAGAATCCAGCACCTTAGCCTGCATGCCATCTGTTGGCCCAAAGCAGAATTTTTTTTTGGATACTATGCACATTATCATCAACAGGTAATTATCCATTTCTATGTCTTGTCTATTTTCTCCTTAATTTCTTTTCTTACACTCTCCCCTTTCTCCCACCCTCTTCCCATACTGTCTCCAGTACCCATAACCATTTTCAATGCTTCCATGTCCTCTAATCTTTCAGTTTCCACCATAGAGTGTGGACAGTCAGTATATATTGAGTGGAGACATACAATGTTTCTTTTTCATAGCCTACCTTGCTTCACCCAGCAGTAAATCTTCCATGTTTCTCCACTTTCTAACAAATGCCAGGGTCTTATTATTTTTTACAGCTGAGTAGTATTCCACAGAGTATATGTGTCACACTTTTTCTACCCATTCATTTGTTTGTAAACATTTGGGTGGGTTCCATGTCTTAGCAATTGGAAACAATGCTGCAATAAACATAAAAGTACAAGCACTTCTCTGACTGAGTTTTCTCCTGTCTTATTATATGGTAGTTCTATTTGTAGATCTTTGAGGAACTTCCATACTGTTCCCCACAGTGGCTGGGCCAATTTATATTCCTACCAACAACGTAGGAGCGTTCCCCTTTCACCACATCCTCACCAGCACTTACCATATTTTGTGTTTTTTTTTTTTTTCATCT